GCAACAGATTGCTCAAAAGCATTTCAATTTGAAATTAGCAGTAGACTCCAAAGATATATGGCTTATTCATTTCCAAGTCATCCAAAATAAATCACATGGTCCAGAACTTCGAAGCGGTGACGATGGCTTCCTTGTGAGCAGGATTATCATCAGCGGTTTAATTCCAACGTTTGCATAAAGTCGACAAAGGACTATGTATATTATGCTTCCAGTGCCATGTTTTCCAAAGCACTTTAGCAAAGTCGTTGCCCGTTGTCTTTTCGGTAGGTGCATTATGAACCCTCTCTCCTCACGCTATTTGCAGACAAAATCAGCTGACGATATCAGCTTATGATATCTCTCAACGATGATTCATTCATTCCTCCTTCCTCACCATTAAAATACAAAAAAAGGCTGCAATATACAGTATAGTACCAAACACTTTACTCCAACCTTGCGTCCCCCCAACAACCATACACCAGCCTCCGCCCGTTTTTGAATTTGCCGCTTTCAACTTTGCAGAGAACGCATAAATGTAGCAGGACCTGGTACAGTAGGCGGTGTACCGTATATGGGCGGGTCAGGCTTCGTATAGTTAGTAAAAAACATTGATAATTTTGAATAAAATGAAGAAGATGCCATCGTACCTACCGGTACGGTACTGGTATGGTCAGAAATCCCAACTTTTATTGAAATCTCGCTTTCTGGAAATGCGACACGTGTACGACGGACATCGTCCTTAACTACAGTCACGAATTCGAAATCATCATTAAATAAGTATGTTTTTGCTACATACACATTATACATAAAATATATATAAGGCCAAGTCAGGGTGTGCAAGATGTTTGAAATTTTGTCACGTGAAAAAATAACAAGAATAAAATACAACGATCGATGATGATGATGATGATGATGATGAAAGTAGTTAACCTGCTCCCATTAGTATTAGTGCTGGTAGTAGTAGTAGTAGCAGCAGCAGCAGCCGATGCTGCAACAGCTCCAGAGGCTCCTGCCGATATGACATTCTTTGGTGAAGGTGCTTGTCGCGCCGAGTTGGATGGCTATCATGATTGGGCGGCTGCCAAGGACATTTATACAGTCCAAGCCTGCGACCTGCTTTGTAGAACAAATGATCCCAACAAAGGTCTGCGAGGCTTTGTTTTAGATGCCGAGTTCGATCATTGCATTTGTTACTTTGAGGATGGTCTGTCTCCGGGCGAAGGAGGAACTTGTCCACCAGCTTACACCCGTGACCTTACACCTGGCAATTGCAAGGTCACCAACAATGGAAAAGGTCCTGTGGATTCGTATGAGTCTCATTCGGAGGCTTATTGTTACGCTTACAATGCCTTTCCCGGTTCTGAGAGCAATGGAGATCCTCATTGTGAGTATAGTAGTTGTCTTGTATTGTCATTGTATTGTCATTGTATTGTCATTGTATTGAAATATTTGAGTGTTTGAGTATTGTACGTACATTTGTGGATGTGTTTTACTCACACTTCACTTTACTTGTAACACACTTCACTTTCAACACAGTCCGCACCTGGAAGAACGAACATTTCGAATTCCACGGACAATGCGATGTCGTCATGACCTCGGTCAAGAACTTTGTTGCTTCCGCCAACAGCAATCACGAAACAATAACCTTGGACCTTGACATTCACCTTCGTACCAAAATGGTGCGTTACTGGAGTTACATTGAAAAGGCTGCCATTCGCATTGGCAATGATATTTTAGAAGTCGAAGGAATGCCTGATTTCTCTCTCAGCTATTGGATCAACTTTGAACACAAGGGCGAGTTGACGAATCTAGCAGGATTCCCAGTGTCCATTAATGAAAACAATGACAAGTACACCATTCATTTGGACGCCATTTTTCCTGGACAAAGGATTGAAATCAAAACCTACAAGGAATTTGTCGGTGTCAAGATTATCGGTGCCACACAAGCCTCCTTTGGCAATGCCGTGGGTATCACTGGAGACTACAAGACTGGTCATACCTACGCACGTGATCAATCCACCATTCTTCATGATTTCAATCAGCTGGGCCAGGAATGGCAAGTCTTGCCCAGTGATGGCAGATTATTTCATGCCATGGCAGCTCCACAATTCCCAGAACATTGCTACCTTCCAGAAGATCCTCAAGGACAACGTCAACGTCGTTTGGACGAGTCTAGCATTACCGAAGATCAAGCCGAAGTGGCATGCTCGGGACTTTCGGATGACTTTGATCGCAAGGGTTGTGTCTACGACATAGTAGCTACTCAAGACTTGGGCATGGTGGGGGCCTACTAGATATACATTTCAGAGAAAAAATAAACTATAATTGCAACATTTGCAATGGCATACCGGTAGGATATAATAATAATAATAATAATAATAATATTTTAAAAAAATAGGCTCTAAATTATTGACAATGCTTTCCTAATAGCTGTCTCGAGTACCGTATATATATCATACAATGTGAAGCCAAAGGCAGTACTGTATGTAGTATGTGTATAATATACCGGTAGTCCTACCGTATAGCTATTAGCAGATTACTATACCTATAATAATATATTCTGAATATATCGACTGGAAGACGTGGATGTGGAGCGCTCATGAATTTTTTGCCAGTGCCGCGTGTTGGGAATCCCAATTCAATTATAATCAATTCAATGAATGAATGAATGAATTGCCAATCATATTTTGACCAATCCGTCCAATTGAACAACTGTGCAAAAGATTTGCTTCAATGTATAGGTAGCCTCGTCAGCATCCCAATCCATGAGTTGCAACACCATCAATGAATTGCCATTTGCTTCTCAACTGTTGTCATGTATATATATATATGTACCCACACTTCAATAGTAGGAGGAGGATGGATGGATGGACGAATACATGGATACATGGATACTTGGATGGATGGGTACTGTCAATGCCCTCCATTTTGATCGGTCTGCAGAAGCTTGAATACGGATCTTCCTCTTCTTCTATTTCTTCTTCCACAAAAGCATATTATAGGTATCAGATCCAATTCAATTCAGATCTTGAATCAAATCAAATCAATTCAGAATCAATTCAGAATCAATTCAGCATCAATTCAGAATCAATTCAATGTTTCAATGTTCTACATAGGGATGCAAATATTCTCGTTCCTTTTGTTTTTGCTTCCGTCCCCAGGTAGCATTCTTGGTGGCTCGTTTCCAAATCTCCGCCGTTTCGGCGACATGACTCAACTTCATGGTTTCGCTGGTCCGTCTTCGGCGGCCCTTGGTCACATTGGCCATTTTCTTGCCATGATTGCGTTCTGCGAGCGAAAACCCTTGCGATTTTAAAATACCATCGCGATGAGAGGCGGGCATTCGCAATTGGACCATGCTGCGGGGTGGTTGTGGTCGACCCGATTCGTAATCTTCCAATTGGAATTCCAGCTCGTCCACATGTTCCCAATCAATGGTCACGGGAACTCCGGTGAGTGCGGAAGGATTGTCTCCCACAATCATGGGATACTCTCGTATTTGAATTTGTGAAAACTTGACCACTATCTTTCTTGGTGGTGAGAGTGGTGTTGTCGATGACAAGTCGGTCGTTGTAGAGTTTTGCTGCGTTTGTTGCTGCTGTTGTTGCTGCCGAGGTTTGCCCTCAGTTTCAGATTTTTCAGAAGAAACGGACGAGGAGAGACTCTCCAATTCGGTGCGCATCGTATTGTCCGCTACTGGTGACTTGGGATGTTGTTGCGGACCTTCCATGCCATCGTGGTCATGATCGTGGTCATGATGATGGTCATGGTCATGGTCATGATCCTCGTCATCATCATGCAGCAGAACATCCGTCTCGGAATCTGTACCGCTCGTGGCAATTTCCATGACATGAGACTCATCAATCGATTCGTCACCCGAGAGTCTTCCTAGGTCAATGACTTGACCCGAGTAGTCCACGAGGAATGGTGACATTCTGGTCATTGAGGAGGAAGCAGATTCACTGGTAAAGCTGTACATCATCAATGATAATGGCATTAGGCACGGTTCACGGTAGGATTATAATTCTAGATACGACAAAATGTATTTCTATAAAATAGACAAACAAACAAACAAACAAACAAACGCGAGAGTACTCGTATGCCACTTTGAACTTTCACAGACAAAAGTGAAAGGGTCTCATATCACAACCAAACAAACTTACCAACCAGCGACTCTTCGGAACTATTCTTATCAAATATGCTACTGCACCGACACTTGTACCGGTACTGCAGGTGATTTGTAATTGCAGCGGCAGTATAGTCAAAAAAAACCAGTGTTCCGCCATCTCGATTCCTCCAATGGAACCATCTTCTTATAATCTACCGGAAGTTTGAATACCAATTATGGCGGATCGCATTATTACGATCAGTGTAATAATACCGGTATAAGTAACTTTGTACGTGATAAGATCGCCTTCCATAGGTTAAAGAATTCCACTGGGGATTTGAAACATTCGCCGTCATCATCCGGTGGGACATCTACCGGTATTCCTGGGGGACTGAAATATGAGAATGCCAACATTTATATTTCCCTTCCCTCAAAACTGTCACTTGTGATGCGATGGCAGGCCAGACGTTAGAGGAACGCGAACTCCACATCTCGATCAATCATCAGTGCGAAACGCATCATCGTCTCGACGACGAGAAGCCGCCCCGTCGTGTCGCAATCTCTCATACATACCGGTACCGGCACACAACATTCAAAATCAATACTTTCTTCCAACAGCAAGAAAAACAGCCCAATATCATTCCATCATGTTTGCTGCTTCCTCCTCACTTTCCAAGACTGCCACCAAGGCCTTATTTCTACGTTCTTCCTCGGCAGCAGTCCAACAATCATGCAGCAGACCATTCGCATTGCTAGTATCCTCCTCGTCTTCCTCCTTGCGTCAGAATG